GCTGCCTAACTAAATCCTTGCAATGAAGCCAACGTCAATAGACTGGCCCCTATGTACTAAAAGAAATACCTGCACCGACTATTTGTCCATTCCGCCACGGACCCTGAAAATAAACCTTAAGCGGAAGAATAATTTTAAGCAATTTTAATAAAGTTTTCTACTAGTCAGAAACATGTATATTAATTTCCTCCTGCATATAAATTTAACTACCAACGAGCATGTGCCCACATTACTCCATCCAATCATACTGAATTATCATAATCCGTTCCAAAATTACAAAATTAGAAACTGAAGTCAGCAACGCTTTCATGTAACAAGCAGCAGTAACCAGCGGACAATCACACCGACACAAAATGTATGGCCCTTCGTGCGGCAGTAATGCCTACACATACCTAACAAATTTTAGACACAGACACAGCAAAATCAAGATATACTGTCACATGGTGGAGTGACTGTAGACGGGGTTTGCACTGGTAATCGGAATTAAGGAACATTTACAGAATGTAACTACAAATAACTACGCCAGTCTCCTGAATTACACACTCCAAAGATTACTGTAAGCAGAACACACATAAAAGTCTTTTCAGTCTTCACTAGTCGTTTCTTGGCATCGGCTTTCAACGGCGTCCGTTCCCTTTCCTCTGGGTTCCCTAACTGTTCTTGCCCACAGCTACCGGCCTTCTCATTTCTTATAACTGCAACTCTCAACTGACTCAACTAAACTTCCTTCTTGTCTTCCTAGTAAAATGCTGCCGGCCCTCGCCAGTACAGTTACTCTTAATTTCAAGTCCCGCGGGACTCATAATCATATTTTAATATCTTGAATTCTAGATTCCCACAACTTGGAGGGCCAGGTCTCCGTATTTATACACCCAATAGAGGGTGGCCCAATTATACCCCCATGCACCGGGTTCCCTTTTCATCGAATTCTACGAATCGCAGGGCTGCGGTGAAGCTATTGTAACTCACCTCAGTCAGAGTCAGAATTACTTTACGACTGGTGGTTTACCGCCAATCAGTTCGTCTTCGCGACAACCCCTTGAGACTCGCGACCAGCAATTTTACCTTCCAACTGAACACTTGCGGTTATAGTCCTTATGTAACATCCCCTCTGATGAGAGGATGGGTCTGTCGTTTACAATTGCTGCTGGTCCTCGCCAGTGCAGTCATTCTCAAGTCAGTGTCCCGCGGAACTCTTGGCCGCATTTTACTCTCTCAGATTTGAGACTCTCCAGACTTGGTGGGCCAAGTCCCCGTATTCATATCCCCCAGGAACAGGGTGACCTGGTTATAAGCCCAGGCCCTTTTCGTGGCTAACTACGACTCGCAGGGACAGCATAGAAAACGGCTTTCATTACTGGGTGTTCTCTCACTACCGAGGAACGGGTCCACAGAGCTGTTCCCTAGCAACGACTGTTGTACTGTCGTCTGTTTACACAGCTATTATTTGGCAATGAGGCTACGTATCACACTGTTCCGTCCTTCATGTTGCTGGTCTTGAGTAGCCTAAGGCGCGCCACGATGGCTTCTTTTCCGGTCGGTGAGGGCAAAACGTCCAAGAGTGTCCGGCGCTCATACATCTCTGGCTCTTAAGCTGTTATAGTAGTCTCGTCTTTCTTTTGGGCTGTGGCCGGCTCCTCCATAGTTTCCTGACACCCACTTTTCGAATCCTGACGGAAGACGTGGCCGCTAGCTTGACTACCTCCAGCCCCATGGTCTGTCGCAGTGCCTCGTTGACATTTCCCTTGCTTCCCAGTCGTAGCTACTGTTTCAGGCCTCGGTCCCTTATTCCACTGTCTCAGTTTGGCTGCGCCTGATATCTCTTCCCAAACGGCCGTCCTTTCGGGGGTTCTTTGTACAGCACTGTCCTTGGTCTGCCATTTCAGAGGGTTCTGGTATCCTAGGGCCGGTCGCTGGTCCCCAGATCGACTCTCCCATGTTTCGACTGTCTCACTGTAGCCTCTTCGTTTGGGACTTTCTGATGCTCGGCTACGGCCTCTATTTCTCCTGGATTTGCCTCAAAATCTGTGGAGTTCATTTCTTTCACGTCAGGCTTAATTTCGGCTTCAATTCGTTCCTGGCCGCTCTTCATCCTGGCCTCTGTCCTTCCTGCAGAAGCCTTCATTAAGGCCATCATCTCCTCATGTTGGGAATCCATCCGGTAGACGACAGCAACTATCTGGGTTTTCATGTAGGCCCTCATTTCTTTTTGATTGGAACGCATCTTGGCCAGCAGGCGTTCCATAATTAGTTCCATTTTTGTAGTATGGCGATGCGAGTATCTAATGTAATCTTCAATGCGATCCAAATTAATCCAGTCATCCCACTTCTGACACCAGATGTCACGTGGTAACTGTGACTACAGACGGTGTCTGGATTGGTAATGGGATTTATTGAACACTTACAGAACGTAACTACATATAACTACGGCAGTTTCACTGAGTTGCACACTCTGTAGATCACTGTAACTACATCACACATAAAGTTTTCTCAGTCTTCACTAGCCGTTGCTTGGTAGCGGCTTCAACGGCAGACGTTCTCCTTTCTCTGGGTTCCCGAAATGTTCCTGGCCTCACCTACCGGCCTTCTCAATTCTCAAAACTGCAAGTCTCATCCCACGAATGTACACAGGGGTTTTATAAGAAGGCAGGCTGGCCAAGTGACTGTCATAATGTGACTTTGACTTGACCTGTGACCTGAACGTGCAAATGACTTGACAAGATATAGTGTTAACTTACAGAAAAGTGCAAAAATTTCGTAGAGTATTCTATTGCAACTGACAAGAGCAATGTTAAAGATAGTGCACAGCCTGCTGTTTTTATTTGAGGTGTTAATGAGGACTTTGAATTAGCGGAGAAGTTTTTAGAACTGATCAGTATGAAAGGAAAAACAGGTGCCGATGAAATTTTTTCTCAACTGGTAACACTTTCAATCAAACCTGGGCTGCTTCTGGGAAAAAAAAGGTTGGCTTTATCAGTGAAATGACTGGCAAAAATAACGGTGTTGCAGTAAAATTAAGAAAAAATATTAAAGAATTCAAGGGAATAACTTTTTTCCTTTGCCTCTGCTGTATTCATCATTAACAGATATTGTGTGTGAACAGTCTGAAAATGAATCACGATATGGACACTGTTAAAATCCGTGAACTTTGTTAATGAAAGTGCCTGTAATTATCATGAATTCGAAGAACTGTTGGAAGCAACAGAGAATGAATATGAGGAAACAGTTTATCATACTAATGTGAGGTGGTAAAATGAGGGATCTGCTTCAAAATATTCAGATTTGTTGAATGATCTCAAATTATTCATGGAAAAGAAGGGAAGAAATGCTGAAGAATTCGATGATGGAGAATGGATAATTATCCTATCATTTCTTGTGGATGTGACTGGTCATCTGAATAAGTTCAACAAAGAACAACAAGTCCATGATTTATTTAATCCGTCTTGCAGTGCATACACTCATTTATCTCCTTCTCTCCCTCGCACTACATGTTTCGGCATAATAATGCCATCTTCAGGTGCTTACTTATCCACGTCAAACCAGTTCATTGCATGCCATGTTCACACATTAAAATGACTAAAATATGTATCTATCATATACATTGTCAAACGTTAAAAATATTAAAATTGTTCAGGATACCACATCACTACGTCACCCCTCACTACGTCAGTCATGCCCATTCTCCTTTGTTGGAGCATTCCTTCATTATCTTGTGTGTTGTGCTTTTGTTGTGTCGTGCTCCTGCGACTGCGTGTGTTATACTGTTGGGCTTCCTGGGTATGTGTGTGTGTTCTGTCTTTGTTTTGAGTGAGATAACTCACTCACTGCAAGACGGATTAAATAAATCATGGACTTAAATCAGTGCAACAGGACGCTAAAATATAACAAAAGAACAACAAGGTAAAGTTAAGCTCATTACCGATACGAATGTCAACATTAAGGCTTTCAAAGTCAGGCTTTGACTGTAGGAAAAGCCAATTAAAAACTGTGTTGAAATCTCTTGACAATTTTGCTTCTGAGCATATTCAAGATCATTCCAAGTCCATTTTCTTTTTAATCAGAAAATAGTCTGAGAAACTTTCCAGGGATTCAGAAGTATGGAACCAGATTTTTTGTTGTTTCCTTTATAGACAGTGTCACGTAACTTTGAACGAGGTGCTGCATTCCTAGCCAAATTCTGCGCATAGCTTGTGGTGGGAGGAGTTTCTTAACACTCGTTCTTCCACTGGTCGCCTGTCACTTCTCACACCCTCGAACCAACCCCCTTGTCTGAAATTTTTCTTCTGCGCATTCAAGGTTACTCTTGGCCTTGTTTGAAGTTACATGACACTTGCTATACCTTGTAGACCTTGAGAATGCTCCAAGAGATCTGCAAATGGAATTAATCAATTTGCAATGTGATAATAATCTTAGCCAGACCTCATCTGAAAAAAAAAATGTGCAAGACTTTTATTCCTACTTGCTAAAAGAAAAGTTCCTGTGCACAGATCCTTTGGTTAAGAATGGCCGTGATGTTAGGCAGCACTTATGTGTGTGAACAATTTTTACCCCATGAACAATAGTAAGATGAAGAGCCGAGTTCATCTTACAGATTCTTGATATTTACCATGACAGTGATTTCTGGTAATATGTTAGTGAGGACAGAAATCCTCTCCCTGTCCAAACAACGATAAGCCTCCAGCCAATCTATAGTGTAGCTGAGGTAAGTTTCAGCCAGTTAGTGGTCTGGTAGTTTTAAATTCTATGATGGATAAAGTTATGCAAGAAAGAACGAAACTCTAATGGTGTGTAACACAAAATTATAGAAACTGATGAGGTTATGCAATATTTAAGAACAAATAAATACTTGAACCCTACCAGAGTTATGGCTAAGAGAGACATAAACACTTCAAACTAAAAGAAATTCTGAGACTGATTAGACAAGGTATATGCATATACATTTTATAATATGTAATTTCAAGTTCATAAACACACTTGTATGTTTCAAATTTATTTCTTACCCTTTCTGCAGCTGCAACTTTTCTCCATTCTTTTCTTTTTGGCAGTTGTTCCTTTTCTCTCTCTAAGTCCTCTGGTGTCACATCCCAGCGCCGCTTCCTCTTCTGGCATTTATAGGTTGGAACTGGTGAACTGTCACAACGTGGTGCCATGCTGTCTCTTGTCATTCCCATTCACAATTCACCTTGATTATACACATATTTATTAAGTACTCTGGTTAGACTTATTCGGACTAACATCCCATATATACAGTGCTTCACATTTCGTACAATATAGTTATGAAAACAACTGACAATTTTCATTTAAAAATTATTCAAAAGTGGTCATTTGTGAGAGCATGGAAACTATTCTAAGGTTATGTTATAATAAATCTTTCAAATGACTTCGCTAAGTGTCACTCTTTCTCCGTCTCTTTCACACTGCAACATAAACCTGCACAATATTTTACATATGGCATTAGAATGAATGCAAATATAATCAGTTTATGTATCATAACCTTACCTTCAACATGCAATGCACAACATTCCCATTTCAAATCATAACTATGAAAACACCCTACAGATGGCACCACAATATTAACAGTGCAACGCGACATCTGTTATGAAATGTACAAAGCTCTTCGTATGCTGTTATCCCTGGGTCCCTTGCTCCACCGCGTTGACCTGGATCGTGCAGTCAAATAAATATTGCTCCCTTACACAGAATGGGAGTTGTGAGTTATACACAAATATATATATATATATATA